CTTGACTGGTAAAGAAATTTTGATGTAAGAGACAATATATTAGTGTAGAGTCATCCAGCGAGCCAAGCGATGATGAGGAAGTAACTGAACTGAAAAGGAACAGCACATTTCTCCACTCAGTCTGTTGTATTGTTATCATGATTAATTGCACAATTTATATGCATAGTATTCTGTCTGGATTCAACATAGAACTTGGCACCAAAGTGCAGCAGTTCGAGTTGCCACGTTCCAAATAGCACACAAAGGTAGACAAGAAAAAAGAGTGAAGGGAATCAATAGAGTTTTGACAAGTATAAGAGTGAAACAGAATGAGTAATGGTAGAAAGGAATATGAAAGATTACAGAGACTGAATACATCTGCGCCATTGACTACGATTTTGAGCCATGTTACCTAGTGTCTTCAGCCATTGATTCTTAGAGTCCCGAAGGCTCCAACCCGGAAGTCTGCATCTCCCTACCTGACTCAGTTTAACTGTCAAGGATTTCATGGATTGATGCCATGTTTTTATTTGGGCACCACTTACTCTTTTCCAACCTGCACCTATATCAGCTAGGAATGCCCGTCCGTCGGGGGAGGCGATAGTTAGGCATGCGCAGCACGTCACCTAGCCATCTCAATCTATGTAACTTTATAGCCTCTTCGATTGATTTTCCCTCTTTGCACAACACTCTACGCCTAGCGTCAACATTACTTACCTTATTATGCCACCTAACGCGAGAAAGAGATCGTAGACATCTATGATCAAAAACAGTCAACCTTTTCATGTCTTCAACTCGTATTGGCCACGTTTCAGAGCCATAGAGAAGGACGGAGCGAACTGCTGAGCAGTATACACGTCCCTTGGTTGATAGCCGGATGTCACGCCTACGCCAGAGATGGTGTAAGTTAGCGAAAGCAGCTCGAGCTTTTCGGATCCGTGCTGAGATTTTGTCGTCAATCAGTCCGTTGGTGCTGATGCAACTTCCCAAATAGGTGAAGTGGTCAACATGTTCTATCACTTCACTCCCTATCACTAAGCTAGGAGTTGACGTAGTCCAGTCCTGTAGCAGCATCTTACATTTTACAGGGGCGAATCGCATACCGAACATACGAAGATTGCTGCTCAAGATGTTCAGAAGACTCTGTATTTTGTCAGCATCCTCCCCTAACAGGACAATGTCGTCTGCATATTCTAAGTCCATAAGACTATTGCCAGGTAACAAGTCGATTCCGAAGTCGTTAAGTTCAGTTAAGGATACTTCCATTAGCATATCTATGATGAAGTTAAACAAAAACGGGGAAAGTGGACATCCTTGACGGACACCACTGGTTGTTATCAATTCAGATGACAATTCCCCATAAGCCCTTACACGGCTACGTGAGTTTGAGTAGAGTGCCTTGATTATTACAATGTACTTTCTTGGCACTCCCTTCATAGTCAAACATTGTCATAGTACCTGTCGATAGAAATGTATAGTATGCATAGTATTATCATGATTTGTGTTCTTAGATTCGGATTCGAAGAGGACACGAACTTTGCAGTTCATACAGTTTTTCCGAATAAACCCCCTACATCCGCTCTCCCTAATCTTCCAAACAGTTTCCCTCCCTTTAAAGTAAAACTTTACACTTAATCCTACACTATTTATCAACTAGAGGTCAATTAGCCTATATGATTTAGTTTCGAAGAGATTTATTTGTGGTAAAGACAGTGTTAATGAGTGGGAAACCATACTGATTATCAATAAACATAAAATCCAGACTCATTACAATTAATTGATTGATTGTATACAGTCGCTTCAGAGAATGAAGCAAAATCGCACTACGAAGAAATGACCTAACTATTAGTTGAACTACCCTATATTATCATACCATTTCCACAAAATCTCAACAACACTGATATTAAGTATGGTCGAAAATGTATTCCGAAAACATGGACCTCAACAGTTGTCATTCTATATAGAGCGGAGATGTCAGACGATATCAGAAGTGTACTCAATTAGCTCGACATCAGAGTTTTCTTCAAAACATCAAAACACTGCGAAACAACTCTGTCCATATAAAAGATCAAATCCCTAAAGATTCTCTATCTAATTGAGTCTATAAAATGAAATGCTTGAAATGTCATCGAACAAACATCTCGAGAAATCAAAATCAGAAGAAATGAACACCGTAGAGCCGCCTCTATTCGACCACCAAGAAATCCAACTGAACTAGAAAAGCTTGAAAAATCATCACCCATAGAATCAGGTAACTAAATTGATATTGACAATATTGAAATAATCCAGAAAAAGAATTTCAGAAATCACAAAGAACGTCTAATATCATCAGAAGCACTTCATATTGCATGGAATCCAAATTGTCTGAGCTGAATAGGAATGATGGGCTAAAACAGAATTTGACCTGGTTACAACACCTCCCTCTCCCATGAAGTGACAAAATCAACACGAATGTGACTGATAAGCAATTTCATTATGTAAGCACACACTGCTTTTATAATTTTACACAATTATCAAATCCAACAATCTACACCTGGTTTGGTTATCTTAACCAACTGGCCAATTTGACAACGGAAAAATAACCCCATATTGAGGAACGATGATTGAGTTGTTGTACATAAGCTGAGATTTAGTAAATTCTGGTTTAATAATAATTTGATAAAGCTATTAGCAGCAACATTAAATAGCGAAACGCCAGTAAAAACGATAACAATATTGTTTTGTTTTTCATTCATTGGGAAATACAAGAAACCTTTATTATAACGAGACTTCTATGTGCGTAATTAAGGCTGAAGATTTATAAGAACCAATGCAATTAGACAGTCTGAAGACATAATATTTCTTACTGTTCCTAATTTCGCGGTATTTAGAGTTTAGCCAACAAAACGCATTCACATATGCAACCGTGTATATATAGTATTCTTAATTGCAATATATAAATACATTAGCCCCGAATATCTCCTTTTTCACGCCTTGTAGTTGAAAATATTTACAAGCAAAAGCAAAGTCATCTACATCAAACTCCAAAAAACCATGAAATAGTTTAATTTACAGTCACAGCCCACGTGTGGCCGCAATTAAACCTTGCAAATAAACATAGGCTGTTAAGACAAAAGACCATCTTCCCTGAACCTTAGACCAAGGCAGCAGCATTCTGTAACCAACTCGTAGCAGCCTTAATACGAAGTCTAAAGATAATGTATTGAATTTTTAGAGGCATAAACCAAGAGAAGGAAGGTTACAATTATCCAGTGCTACAAACAACGCGAAACAAGAGAAGAAGGAAGATTTCTGTAGACAACTACAAACAGTAATGGACAACAACTCAAGTGGTCACATCAAAATCCTCATAGGCGATATGAATGACAAACTGGGAGCAGATAATACAGGAGGATGAAATTCCCCCCCCCCCCCCGAAGCACTAAAAACGCACCCAAAGATTAAAGTAGATGTGCTCACGCCATTACTGCAAAAGGTTTGGAAAGAAGGAAAGGTACCTACAGATTAGAAGAAAGACTGGCTACCTCGTCAAGCTGCCAAAAAAGGGTGACTTACGCCTCACTCTGCAAGAACTGACTGGCATGGAATAATGCTGTCGTCCACGCCAAGTAAAATACTAAGTCGCATCATCCTGGAGAGAATAAAAGACGCACTAAATACGGAACGCCGACAGCCCAGAACAAGCTGGATTCATGAAAGGCAAATCATGTGCTAATAAAATGGCAACTCTACGTATCGTGATCACAGAACAAAGCAGAAAATGGCAGTCAAACCTCTTTCTACCTCAAATTCATCGACTTCGAAAAGGCATTCGACAAACAGCGTTGACGGAGAAATGATTTGGAAACTACTTCAACACCATGGCATATAGTACGCCAAATATTTATCACCTTCATTAAACAGCTGGCGGTATGACAATGCCACGTGCCAGGTGATCCACAACAAGAACCTCAGCGAGGCATTCGAAGTGAACACATGAGTAAGACAAGGCTGGCTGCTTATTGTCACCGATGATATTCTGGACTGGATTATGCGGCACACTATACTTGAGTAGCGAGGAGACGCCAATATGCTGGACTGACCAATAAGAAGAAATTAGAAGCTCTGCATTTCCTGCATGGGTGATTTACGTTGCACATCGCACAGACTCGAAGACTTGCAGACAGGCATAAACCAACAAACTGGCAGAAGACGAGAGCAGGTGGCGAAGACAGGACTCCAGGTGAACGTGGAGAAGGAGGTGATGAAAATAACCAACGAACCAACCAGCCCCAGCAACAACAACAACCAGCACCAATCACCATCAACGGCAGCAGCTTGACAGAGGTTACTTCCTTCACTTATCTGACTAGGAAGCATCGTTTCAACCACAGGCCAGCGGAACGGATGAAAATGTCAAAGCAAGACAGCATCTAAAAGGCAAGATACGCTTTCATCAACCTGAAACCAATTGGGAAATCTTCTGCACTGCGCCTCAACATAAGAAACAAGATTCGGATTTTCAACATCAATGTCAAGTTGGTCAGTCAGTCACTTCTTCTATATAGGCCAGAAACATAGCGGGCACATCACGAAAAGGATTTCCAACAAGTTACAGACTTTTTTCAACAGCTGCCCACTTCGCTGACTCCATACTAAAGATCAAATGGTCGGCCGGCCAGGAAGACTTAGCAACAAAAAACTCTGGCTCGGAGCAAACCAACCAAGAGCCGATCCCTCAACAAATATGTAGGAGAAAATGGAGATGGATCGGGTATACATTGAGGAGACCGTCAAATGACGTCGCGTGCCAGGCCCTCGGGTGGAATCCACATGGGAAACGACATGGAGGAGATCGTGTGGTGAGGAGGGTATGAGAGGTTATGCGCGATCGTGGGGTCTGGCAGCTGAAGAGGACAGGAGAAAATAGAGGAAAGTGGAGATGCGTTGTCTAAGCCCTATGCTCCACTCGGAACTCAAAAGAATAATAATAATAAACCGAGGAACAAAACTTTAAAAATAAAAGAGATATTAATTATCATTTACAAACATCATTTATATTTGTACAGGAAATGTGTATATACAAGAAATTGAGGTAACGCATTTTCACGGAAAGATAATTTGTTATTTTAAATACAAAATAATAATAATAATAATAATAATAAAATATTCAGTGCATCTCGACAACTCAATAATTAAGTACAAGGACCTGTTGGTAAAAACAACAAAAAAAGAGAGTCAAAGAATCAATTACATAAAAAAGTGGTTGTGCAATACAATATTATGAAACATAAAGTGAAAATATATTTCCCTGTCATATATATATTTTTTTTCCTTCACGTTCCCAGTTAAACATAGGGCTTCAAGCTAGAGGCTCGAAGTTTCTATAGCAGTGTTTTACTTTTACAGGATGAGGTTGTTAGCCTCATGCCCAACCTTTCCTCTTCACCAACTTTTTTTTATTACTGGTTTGGTGAGGTAAAGGAGTGCATCGGCCGGGGATAGAACCCCGGACCATGTGCATGGTTGGAAGCAATCGGCCACAGAAAGCCTTACCAGGACCTTGGTTTCGTACTAGTTGGCACTTACCACCAGTCAGCAAGGCAGGCGTATCTGCAACCTTGAATGAAGGGACTCATGTGCCTTCTGAGATTCAAACCCGCGTTACCCAGTGCCGCCTGCAGTCGGTCAGAGACGTTACCACTGAGCTATCTGGGTTGCAGGACTGTAGTGGATATTTTGGTTGGACACGTGGGTGATGCGGGTTCGAATCTCAAAAGGGACATGGGGGGTTCCTCCCTTCAAGGTTGCAAATACGTCTGCCTTGCTGACTGGTGAGTGCCAACTAGCACGAAACCTAGGTCCCGGTAAGGCTTCCTGTGGCCGATTGCTTCCAACCATCTAATATCAACAGTTGAAAGTGTACCGTGATGGTGAGCCACCTAGTGGTATGGTGGTCAGATTGCAAACTTGGCTGACAGAATGCAGTCTGCACGAAACAAAGGACTAGACACATTACACTAAACAGTTCCCTAATAGAAAAGTAAATATTCAACCTCATGAAATAAAAACTCAACTGCTTTACTGTATAACTAAAGCAATTTCCCACGGAGTCATTCAACGCTTTGCAAATAAAATGTCTAATGCAAAGGACACAGTTTTTCTTCAGCGAAGAAATTTCTTTTCAACGACTTCATTTTCAAGCTGTACAGTCGTATTTATATTACAGAAAAGGTCATTAAGTGGCACTAAATAATTGCTCAGTCAATATACATATATGTGATAAGAATAACGATAATTAAAATGTTATAAGGGGTAGAGTTGAAGTGGATAAATTACAAAATTATTAAAGACTCTGGCATTCAAAGGTGACACCATTTCGGAATTGATTAAAAATCGTTTATCTAAATGTATTAAACGTACTTTTCCTGCAGCTGACTTACAACTAGTTTTTACCAGCCGAAATATGATTAGACAATGCGTCAAGGATAGATTACCGCTTTTGTCCACATCCATGTGTATTTACTCTTTTACCTGCTCTTGTGGAGCTTGTTATATTGGACGTTGTAAGCGTAATCTCCGAAAACGTGTAGCTGAACACTATCCAGTCTGGTTAATGAAAGGCGAACGAAGAACTGCGAAGTCGTCTATCTGTGATCACCTGTTAGAGTCAGGCCATTTAGCCCCACGTGATTCATCTTTCAAAGTTATCTACATGGCAAAATCGAATTGATCCAAAAGTTTACGTTTTCTTCACTTATGCATAGCCGAAGCTTTAGCTATACATGAACAGAAACCTAAATTATGTGTTCAAAACCGTTTTGTCAAACCCCTTTCTTTACCTTGGTCATAGTAATGTTCTTTCTAGTTTTTACTTTATTTTATTTTACCACTTGAATTCTTTCCACTTCACTTCACATCTTCATTCTTATCGTAATCGTACTCTTATTTTATAAAATTTTTAGACAACACTTGACATTTTTAAAAAAAATTTTCAATTCACTTATAAAACAATCTTTAATAATTTTGTAATTTATCCACTTCAACTCTACCCCTTATAACATTTTAATTATCGTTATTCTTATCACATATATGTATATTGACTGAGCAATTATTTAGTGCCACTTAATGACCTTTTCTGTAATATAAATACGACTGTACAGCTTGAAAATGAAGTCGTTGAAAAGAAATTTCTTCGCTGAACAGAAACTGTGCTTTTACTTATGAATAAATGGGTATTTTTCGTAATGCAAAGGAGTCTAATGTACTTCCAGAAGATAACGATACGTTAGTCTGTCAACTTGACTAGTAGAATCCACAGTTGTCTACTAGCCGAATAAATTTTATGGCTATAAAATGGGTATACTAGTCAAATTTTCACACCTCGATAGATATTTTTTAATACAGAAACACTTGCCAACACTTTTTAAACGTATTTTTTATCCAAAGACGGGTTTCCAGCACATTGATTGTAATAGTAGCGAAAAATGACTTTTAAATAATCTAGTTTCTACACTGAAAGTTATGCGGACATGACACAGATCTGGGAAGGTTTTGTGAAAATTGAAGATGACCAGTGATATCCAGCAGTAATGCTCAACTACATCATTTGATTCAAATCTTAACCAACATAATGGTGAAGTTGGTAGAGACTATTACTATTTCTGCAGGAATTGACTGATGATTGCATGGGATAACATAGAATGAAAAAGGTGGACAAAATAAGACTCATTTGGGACTAGGTATTCTCCTTTAACTGATTCTGCTCACAGGCCCCTTTTTACTTATTATGTTTTTCATCCGAAAAGCGGAAAAATCAAGCTGAAAAGTATCACAGCAAGATTGATGTGCTTGTTATTGATTTCATGCATTACACTATTAAAAAGAGCACGCCTAACTTACCGAGATAATCATCCATTAGGGTTCCCACAGCGAACTGTAAAAAAAGAAGTGCATAAGTAGGTAGGGAATATTGTAGTAGTGATTAAACATACATGTATGGATGTAATTATATTTTTAAATAACAAGTCTTGTGATATTCTGTTTATCGAAAAAATTACGTTACTCCTTCCCCTTCCCACTCCCTGTGGGGATAGTTAAGGGAGAAATATTGCTGAATATGAAACAATCATGGCTTTGAGAAAAGGTTTTAAATGACCACGGGAAAATTATAAATTCAGAAGACAAAATGCGAGCATGTTACTCATCAACTTAAGCTAACTGGTTTCAACGTAGAACTTTGCACCAATGTGCAACAGTTCAAGTTGTCACACTCGATGTAGCACATTAAGGAAGACAAATGAGAGAAAAAGATACTCAGAAGATCAATAATAAGCAGAAATGTACAGGAGACAGGATACTGACGATCAAGATATGAACGATTACAAAGCGTGAATGTATATGAACCAGACATTGAGAATGATTTCAAGCCACATCACCAACCACCTCCAATCATTGGTCCTTAGAATCCCGAGAACGCCAACCAGGCTGACTGACCGATTTCAACATAGAACTTTGCAAAGATGTGCAGCAGTTCAAGTCGCCATACTCCATATAGAACATAGAGCAATAGAAGAAAGTATAAGAGGATGCGAAATAGAGACAGTAAACAGAAATATGAGACAAAAGGAATAGTAATAACGAAGAACAACATAGTTTCATTAGAAATTATAAGAAACAAGGAGTGGATGCATCTGCGCCACTGAGAACCATTTTGAGCCATATCACCAATTGTCTCCAACCATTGGTTTCTACTCTCCCGAGGACCCCAACCAGTCAGGAAGTTTACACCTGCCCACCTGACTAACTCAAACTAACTGTTGAGGATTTCATTGACTGATGAAGCTATGTTTTCGTTTGACCACCACTAGCTAACTCTTTTCCAACCTGATCCTATGTCAGCTAACATTTCCCATCATCGAGGAAGGCGACGGATAGGCATACCTAACACATGTCTTAACCATCTCTCTCGATCGATGTAACTTCACAACCACCTCGTCGATTGATTTCCCTTCTCACCTATCCAGCAATCGACCTATGCTTAACCTCAATATTGTTCACCGTATTATGCCACCACCAACCACCAAATATACATGAGACAGAGAACGCAGACACCTATGATCAAAGACAGCTAGCCAAGCTTTTCATGTCTCCCATTTTCAATGACCATGTCTTACTCGCAGGCATAAAGGAGGACGGAACGAAGTGCTGCTGAGCAGTACACACGTCCTTTGGTCGATAACCGGCCGGATATCACGTCTACGCCAGAGATGGCGTAAACTGGCAGGCATATGTAAAACGAGCCTTCTCTCTCCGTGGTATGATTTCGTAAACAATCAACTTGTTGTGGTTGATGCAACTTCCCAAAATGGTCAACGTGCTCTATCACTTCATTCTTTATTTCTAAGCTAGGAGTCAATGTAGTCTAGTCCTGTAGCCTCATCATCTTACATTTGACAGGAGCGAATCGCATGCCAAACATTCGAAGATTGCTGCTCAGCTCAAGGTGTTCAGAAGACCCTGCATTTTGTCAGCGTCTTCACCTGGAAGCACTATATCATCTGCATATTCTAAGTCAACGGGATTGTTCCCTGGTAACAAGTCAATCCCTGAGTTGCTGAAGTCAGTTAAGGTTAATTCCATTAGTACATCTTTGATGAAATTAAATACAATTGGGTACAGTGGGCAGCCCTGACGGACACCACACTCCAACCAGGAAGCCTACACCTTCCTACGTGGCTGGCTCAAACTAACCGTCAAAAATTTGATGGACTGATGCCATCTTTTTCTATCTGACCATCACTAACTCTTTTTCAAGCACTCAAAATCTAGCTAATGGGTCTTGGATTAGCATCCCACTTCAGTCTGGATTACTAATTAGTATCATCGGCCCCCAATTAGCAAGTGCGACTCAGTCTGGCACATGAGATTACTGGGTTTCAAACAAAAAAGTCTGGGTAATTGACTGCATTTAGCAACTTGGTAATTTCCTACGAGACAATTGAGCAAACCACGCATAACTCTTGAGTGATTCTGAGGCAAACTCCGACAACTGGAAAAAAATAGCAGATAATTCCACTTCTGAAGATGCATGTATACTTCCACTAAATAATGACTACGGATATGATCTATTCTCTCTTTTCCTTCCCACCAGGTCGGAACACCTTAGAGGACATAGCAGGAGAGTTCAAAAGCCAAGAAGAAATCATATTGCTGTTGAGTACTGGTTCTTACACCGAGTCATAAACTCTTGGAATCGACTCCCAGAAGAAGTGGTGTCTGCAACCTCAACTGATTCATTCTATTACTCAAGAAGGGTTTGGACAACCACAGAAATTTACTAGAAAAGGATTAACATAGGCTCCAAGTCTTCTATCCTCAACCAATAAATCTGAAATCTGAATAAACTAACCAGACCTGTTTAATTGATGAATTTAACGTAAACAGCATCTTCGGTGGACAACTTGTTTTGTTTTACGTTAATGATTGGATGAAGATTACTCATAAATTTTAAATTACTCAGAGACAACTATATTACAAGGAGTGAATTCACCTCAAGCTCCTAACATAGCCATTCTCATCCAATAAAAAGCGATGGAAAAAAATTAACCTGATAATAAAATACTTTCTTACAATGTCGCTGGCATCAACGCGCAGACCAATAATTCGAATTCTAATACGATCTTCAATCTGCACCGTCTGGTTCTAGAAAACGAGACAAGAAATTTAAGTGTATAATGCAACACAAGAATAAGCTAAAACATACCTCTTCTTCTTCATCTTCATTAAGACCGTCTGCAGTGATCTCTGCACCTTCAAATTTAATATTGGATGGGACAGACTAAAGCGATATAACAGTTAATGGCTACATACATATTTGGAAATAAAAATGGTTAAGGGACCGGCTTCAGCGAACACTCCGACTTTAGTCACCTGGGTAACAATACCGTCCACAACTTCGCCTTTAAATGGCCTGTAAACGATGGCGCGGTATACTATCCGATATTGCACAAATCCCCTGTTAGGCTGTATAATTCCAGCACCAATATGCTCTATATTTGTAACAGCAATGATAAAACCATACCTTCCAATCAAGTAGGTGAATGGTATAACTCACTTCCCAGAGCATGTGCCCTCAACATCTGAAAACAACTTTGTCTTAACCGTTTCTGTAAGATTTGGTCCAAAATACTTTGGATGCAACAATATTTCGTGTTCCAACTTAATCTGAAGCAGAAAATAAGAAACTACTTGTCAAGAAGCACCTACATGATAAAACATTTTTAGGGCGTAGCGCACAGTTTATATTTCTGGGGTGCGATATCCAATATTCATTTTTGGGGCTAACAGCTCGGTGATCATTTGTAATCTTACAAGCGTCTGTTAAGTCACCTTTAAGGCGACGGCGGACAAATCTGAAAAGACTGAAAAAATCTAAAACTTCACGTTTGCATTGAATGTGTCTCACCACTTCAGTTACGCTTCTGTGAAACATTTTCAAGAGGTTGGAGTTTATTTTAAGAAGAGCAATAACACAATGCACCCCAAGGCTCAATCACACGTATTTCGATTGGGCTTTGAAAAACTCTGGCATGGATGTGCCTAGCTAACTACGTGTGAGGTATACAATCATATACATTCTCGTCACGTCACTTCAGTTGTTCACGATCGTTCACAGGACATATACATACTAAGTAATTATTCGCATCGTTGGAATGAGTATACGAATAGCTTCACAGGCTTTTTGGGGGTAAAACACATTTCGTCGACCTCTGCTCGGTGTTCCACTGATTTCAGTTCTCCATGCTACCTGGCAAAGTCGTGTACAGTGTCTCAACTGCATACCTCAGTTCCCCTCGATCCTCTGCTGTCTGTTTCAGCTAGATACAAGATTGCCGCCACCTTCCATTCACCCCCCGCCCAAATGATCTCCGTGTCATAATCCCACGACCATCTAATCACCATTTCTTATTCGGGTTCCACTCAACGGAGTGGTATGCGATGTCACTCAATGGTATCCTCTGTGTATGTCTAATGAATCTCTATTTTCTTTCGCATTTTAGTAGGGTGGTATATTTTTCTGTTGTCGGTTCTGTGCCCTAGTTTCTTGTTCCTTGTACTTTACGGACGACAATATGGTCCTCAGTTTCAAGTAGGCGAAGCTGTTGATGAAAGTCTGTAGAAGCCTGTAGGAAATGCTTGTGTAACACGCACGCAGTCTCTGAACCACACAGCACCACTGATTTGACATTAGTGTCTAGAATTCAGATCTTGTTCCTTGTGCTCAGTGCTATACATATCCACACTGATTTCAAAATGATGAATGTTCATCTGCCTTTCCCAATCCCACCCTGGTTCCCCACATCCTCATCCGTACCCTGTGTAGTTGAAATGATTAGCCTAGGTAAGTGAAGAAATCGACTTCTTATAGATTTCTCACATTTATGGTAAATGGTGTCCCCATTGTTTAGCGTATTTTCATCAATTTCATCTTTTATGTATTCACTTGGAGTCTCTTTTTTGCCACCTCTTCCTCCATTTTTTCGGGTTTTGTTTGCACATCTTCGAGCTTGTGAAATGTGATGCGTAATTCATTTACGAAACCTGGATTTTCTAGGGTCCTCTCCTGAGTCCAATGGGTTCTTGTTTCCTCACTCGTTGGTAACAGGAGGCGGGCTCTTTGACTCGTATCTTCACTTTAGACATTTCACCAATCTTTCCTTTGTGAATAACCTGTAGTGGGGCCTGATGAATGAGGTTTATAAAGTTTTTATGTTACTACACTCTGTAGTGTTGCAGCAGTTTCTGAACTACTTCAGAGTCAACGCTACTGAAGGCGTTTTCAAATTGGACGAAGTCGACTGCAATTCTAGACCCTGCTTGATGGTGGTGGGTACAGAAACAGTTGTTTACTCATGATTTGTTTGTTTTGAACACATTCTCCTCCAGACAAAGTTTTCTCACGGTGATGTATTTTAGTCTTCCCAGGATGATGGGGATATAGGCTATGACGTGTTAATTTCCGCGCCTCAGTTTTGCTTTTTTTAATATTATTTTACTTATTGCAGTACAGTGGTTATCATATCTTTTGCTATCGTGCTGCGATGTCAAGACCGTGAGTTCTGGTTTCATTTAGTAACTACATTATGTGATATGCTATTGTATTCAATGTTGCTTTTCTACGGAATTATATTGAAACAGTCGTGAGACAGATGGATACTAATTGACAAAGCCTTTTTAGTTTATTGCAGGTAGCCATGCGAGTGGAGCATTATTTATCCTGTAATATTGTGTGCATAATTCTATTTTTTTTACTCTTCCACCTTTTGTAGTTAATATGTGTGCATAAGTGTCAACGATGGACATGGTCTGCAACTCGTGCTCATCTGAAAGCGGGAGAGTAATCGCACAAATGGACCATTTTCTTAATATGTAAACAAACTAATGTTGTATTATAAAAATATGAACTTTCATATAAATCTTGTTGTCTTTCAATTCATGTATTCGCTTTGTGAGCACGGCATGCTAGACCGGTGCTCCCTAGGACTTGACCTCGTTACTATACTTAAGTGTAATTCTGCAGAAACACTATCGACCGATATACTGGTGAATTATAAGTAGTTTAGTGGACCTTAAGTCTCTGTCTACAGTTACGTGAAGACTTCTCATAGTCATATGCAAGTATGTAGGGAACAATGACAACAATAGGTACAACTTAGACACTGCATTGCAGTTACAGTTCGTATACGGTTTGCTGTATTACAAATCAGTGTATTACGAATATTTAAATTAAAACGTTATGGCAGTCCCTATGATAACGGGTGTTAACGTATACTGTAAAGTTAAGTTTACACATGACGAATAAATAGGTAGGTTGAGCTGTAGCAGTCGTAGTACATTTCGCTTACGTTTAATTATGCAGTCAAATAAATCATCAATTCATGATAAGTCGACATCTGCATCGTCATCAAAAAAAGTGAACAAAGTGTATCTTTTTAAATCGCAGAAGTAAGGAAGAAGTATATTAAAGTTAAACCCTTTAATTTACATACCTTTTCTGAAAAAGGTTCTTTTTCATTCTTTCGTTTGACAGCATTCTTCTGCAGTTTTCATGTCACACAGAGATTGTTCGTCTTATGCAGTACAGCAGCAAGCAAATAATAGTAATTCAAAAGTCGTCTAAACGGGTATTTACAATAATGATGTAATTTCTACAGGCACAATAAGTTATGTAAGAATTACAATTCAAGTATCATAAAATAATACTTTTTCAGAAGTTCAAGTGTTCACTTAGTGAACGAGTAATTAGAACAGGTTATGATAAGTGTCAACTTGTAAACCATTCACAATGAACAGTGTACAGGAAACTTCATCACATCTTGGTTTCAACCAACTTTTCCTTCACGCACATAAGCATCCAGTCACTACATACACTCAAGCATGTAACCTGAACATCACAAAATCCCTACAGATAAATTTTTAATAATAAATGATTTAAACATATGGCCATAAGTGAATCTTCAATATCCTTCATAGCCACAAGTAATTCATTAAGCATCTCAGAATATCTTAGTGATCTGACACGAACAGTTGTTAAGACTGGATAACTTATGTAACAGGTGAGTACTTGTAAGACACACCTGCTGGCTACTAATCGAAGAAAGTTGATACTAGTTTTAAGTTGTCTGACATTTCACGAGGACCATCTACACTATTCTTCGTGACCCAATGCACACTGATATAAACATAATCTGATGCCATTTTTGACAATGAACAATTAAGGCCTTCTGATATTGCAAGTGCAAATGTCAATTAAACTAGTATCATACCTTTGCCTAAGCAATTTTAAATGGGAGCTTCATCAAAGTAGATAAAATCACCAGGAAATGCAGCATCCTGTCTCATTCATCGCATGATCTCTTCCATGTGCTATGCAATATTTCAGTCATCAAAGATGATAAAAGAAGTGTCTAACATCCTCAAAACACACATCTAACTTATTTCTGTAGGCTATTTCTCTTTCAAATGCACGATTCTCATCGAATAACTGGGATGACAACAGCCATTGCCTGCAGTCAATTTACAACCTTAAGATCTGAAACAACTCACAAAAACAATGCCTCAATGCTCTAAAACCGTAATAATAATCTTTTTATGCGATATTTCTTCAAAATAATGACTTCTTTCATTAGTAATTCGTCTAGGCTGTCATGACAATTTTACGCTTTACTACGAACACAATACACAAAAATATTCCATTTTTCGGCTACAGAAGCCTAAAACTAGTCAAATATAATCTATTTTCACAATACTGAGCGGTTAGAACGTCGCTATAGGCGTGAACGCGATAACCCATGCAATGCGCGAAAACACCTCGTCATAGAACATAGCCTCACTCGGATGATGCCGTTTGACATTCTGTTTGTGGCGGGCAGCAGCACGATCCCGCACCAGTTCATTCAAAGACTTAGGTCACTTCTCCTTCGTACTTTAGCGAAATAGCTTCACATTAAATCAGTAGGCAACGTACTTTCTTTCCCCTAGTTATCCACAGTAACATGAGCAGGTGTGCTGAGGCCTCTGGGAGAATTCTGTCTGGCCTTGTTGCTTCCTGGCATTTAGTAACTTTACTCTGGCTTCCTACTTTTGTTAGATAGGTGATGTTTACTAGTAGTTCTGTGTCAGCTATTTGAATTTCTGAGAGTTGCAATCGGTGACTGTTTGAATTCTCAGATGCAATTATCGGCCCAAAGTTTACTTTATTTCACATGTTCGGTATGTGAATTTACTTCACTAGTACTTACTGCCTTCATCCGCTCCCACCTTTCTCCTGACAGCGACGTCATTATGTGGTACAGTGCTCCCACATCGGTCACTTTTGGTCTGTCCTGCTCCAGTTATCAGAGTGCTTCAGGAGCATCGTTCGTCTTTCTCGACACTGTTCTTCGCCGCTTTATTCAGTGGCCTTCATATTTCGCCCAACTTCTCCTGTTGTTGACCACCTCTGAACTAATTGATCTTCTGCTTCGCCATCCTTCTTGTCGTACCTCCTTTAGATGTTAGTGCAGATGTCCATTCACACTGACTTCACTGAGTTCAAATATTCGTCCTCACACGTTTTCTTAGCAATGTTACCCACTGTGTTTCACCTTTTCCTGATGATTGTTGTCAACGTATTCATTGCTTTTAAAACAATTAGTCCCTTTTATAAATTTGCATGGTGTTATTACAAGACGGAGATTATCTGAAAAATGTGGTGTATTTGCGCTATACATTTCGAACAATCTGATCACACATTTACATGTCAAGTCGATA